TGGTGCTATCAAAAACCCACTGGTGACCAAATCAATTGAGGGAAAACTCCCAGAATCTCTCAAAAAGGAGTGGCTTGTCTATGCAGCTGACAGGGCTGTGATTCCAGCCAACCGGTTCGACAGTCTCTTGACGTTCCTCAGAGAGCAAGAAAGCATATATGAGCAGCTCAAACAACTGAGGGAAGAAGAACCAAGCAGGAGAGTAGAGGAAACAAAGCCCGAGTCAAGACATGCTAGAACAAAGTTCACCAAGGCAGGCGACAACCATGCTGATTGTATTTTCTGCGGAGATGTGAAACACAGGAAGAAGCTTTACTTCTGCATGCAATTCCGGGCACTGAAGCTAGCAGAGAAGAAGGCTGCAGCTAAGAAGTTGGGAGCTTGCAAAAGATGTCTTGAAGTCCATGATGACAGTTCATACTGCAAAGAAAACTTTCTGTGCACTAACCACGCCCGCAAAGAGGAACATGCTCCTGATCATCACTTCTATCTCTGTCCTAACAAGAAGAGTAGCTCACCACAGAAAAAGAGCAGACCTAACACAGAGGATGAGAAAAGCAGGAGAAAGTACACAGAGGAACAAGAAGAGTTTGTCAAAAAGCTTTCCCCAGAGCTAGCAAAACAATGTTGTGATGTGTTCTCAAATGCTGCATCCAAGGCTGCTCTCAGCACCACAAAAGAGCAACCAGGCCTTCTAGTGGCAAGTGGATTGCAGGAGCTGCCAGTGATTATGATGCTTCTGGAGGTCACAGCAAACGCTGGACAAAAGATTGGAACATTAATCGACCTGGCATCCGACACCAATTACATTACTCACAAGGCTGCAGACAGACTGAACCTCAGAAATGAAGACATCACTCTCATTGTCCATGGTGTTGGAGGGATGAAGACCATTGTGGAGACAAAGCGGTACCTCTTGAAGATCAGATTGAAAACTCCCAAAGGCACTCTAGAATCACACCAATTGATCTGTTATGGGCTGGACAGTATTGCAGACATCCACAAAAGTGTGAACCCCAAACAGCTGCAGAAACTCTTTCCTGACATCCCACTTGGAGAGCTGACGAGACCCAAAGAAATCAGTCTGCTCATAAGCCACAGAGAAGGCCAGTTAGCACCTCAAAGGATCAAAGTTGTTGGAGACCTTGTGTTGTGGGACGGACCCCTTGGAATGACGGTTGGAGGAACTCATCCTGAGCTCTTCGAAGACCTCACAGTGTCAGCCCACATGTCCAAGGCACACTTCGCAAGGTCAATGAGAACTGCTGCTGTGAAGTATGAGGAACTCACTGGCCCAGTTTCAGAAAGACTTCCCAACACTCTGGTCCACACCAAGCTCCAGGAGTCAAGCACTTCAACCACCAACCAGGACTTCCTAGACTGGTGGAAGTGGGACAGTATCGGCGCAGCATGTGAACCAAAGTGTGGAGGGTGCCGCTGTGGGAAGTGTCAGCCAGGTGGCAAAGAAATGACTCTCGCAGAGGAGAAAGAACTTGAAATCGTAAGGAACGGCCTCACCTATGTCACTGGAGACAACCACAGCAAGGAACCACATTGGCATGCCAGGTATCCTTGGGTCGAAGACCCTGCCTCCCTACCAAACAACAAAAGAACCGTAGAGGCTACATTCCTCAGAACGGAAAAACAACTTGCCAAAACACCTGAATGGAAAGTGGCACATGCTGCACATGTGCATAAAATGGTCAATCGGGGCGCTGCCCTCAAACTGTCCAAGGACACAATCACCAACTGGGATGGACCAGTTTGGTACCTCAGTCACCTCATTGCCCCTAACCCACACTCTGTCACAACCCCGGTGAGAATCGTCTGGAACAGCAGCCAAAGATGCAGAGGTGTGAGCATGAACGACCTGCTGATGAAAGGCCCCGACATTCTCAACCAGATTTGAGCTGTTCTTCTTAGGTTCAGAGGTGGAGTATATGCTGCTCTAAGTGACATAAAAAGATGTATAACTCAGTCTGGCTGGAAGACCAAGAAGTACACCTGCACAGGTTCCTCTGGCGTGACACTGAGGATGAAGAGCTGGGAGAATATGCAATCACAAGAGTGAATATTGGAGACAAACCAGCAAGGTGCATCGCGCAGTTGGCAATGCGTGAAACTGCCAACCTCCCTCTCTTTGCCCACCTGGAAGAGGAGCGTCTAGTGCTTCACAATGACAGCTATGTTGATGACATTCTCACTTCCCACAACAACCTTGACCAGCTGAAGAACATCACAGCCAACGTGGAGAGAATCCTGAAGGCTGGAGAGTTTGAGCTGAAGCCATGGGTCTTTTCTGGGCAAAGTGGGAGGAAGGTGCACACTGGTGAAGAGGAAAAGGAAAACACTGTGGTCTTACCCAACCAGATGTGTGAGGATGACAACAAGGCACTTGGCCTGGGCTACATAGTTGAGGAAGACAAGCTCCACATCATGATTGGTATCAACTTCTCAAAGAGGAAGCAAAAGATGTGACTGGGTCAAGACCTTCTAAAAGAGGAAATCAGAGCCCAGACACCAAACCCCTTAACATGAAGAGAACTCCTCAGTCAAGTCTCAGGACTGTACGACCCAGTTGGCCTAGTAACGCCTGCAAAGCAGAAGGGAGCCATTCTGGTCCGGAGAGCGTTCCAAGAGGCAAAAACTGAACACGGTCTGATCAAAGACACATGGGACATTGCACTCTCATATGGCCTCAGAGGGGATGCAATCAACCTATTTGAGGAGTACCATGAACTCGGCAAGATAAGGTTCAACAGAGCTCTAATCCCCAAATGCCTCACCACTGAGCTACCCTGGGCGATCACACTCTCTGATGGGAGTGAGCATGCATATGGAGCAGTAATGTACCTGAGATGGACCACAAACCAGGGTTCCATTGTCAGGCTGGTGGAATCCAAGGCGAAACTCACTCCCTTGGACCACAAAGGTGACGCTGTCAAAGCAGAGATGTGTGGAGCAGTGTTTGCTGCACGACTGAAGAAGTACTTCGAGCTGCACAGCCGGATCCAAGTCGGAAGATGGTATCACTGTCGACAGCCAAACAGTGCTTGGAGCAATACAGTGAGAAAGTTACGGCTACCAAACATTCTTTGCAAACAGGATCGGCGAGATTCAAAGCAGCACAACAGTTCAGGACTGGTGGTGGATCCCTGGGCTCAAAATATTGCTGACATGATCACCAGAGGAACAGGCCCTCAGGATCTGGAAGAGCATTCAGAGTGGCAAAATGGACCCAAGTTATTGAGTCTACCAGAAAGTGAATGAAAAAGATTCCATGGACGAGATCATCAGGCCTTGGGCAGCCCAAAGTGGGAGGCAATCTCCTTAGAAGGAGCCATCTCTGTACAAGAGAGGAAAGATGCCCTAAGAGACATTTTTCTTGCAGCACAAGGGGGCGCAACCTTCCCAAACTCCACCACTGACAGGCTGGTGGTCTACAAAGACCAAGATTCTGAACTGTTGGTTTGTGGCGGCCAAGTGCAAAACTTCAAAGAAGACCAATGTTGTGTCCCACTCCTGCCCTATGATGCCTGGGTGTCCACACTGTTGCCTCGGGAGGCCCACAACGAGAGTCATGATGGAGTGGCTGGAACATTGCTCAGAATGAGAAGGAAGGCATGGGTCCTAAGAGGCAGGAGAATTGCCCAAAAGGTTGTTGATGGCTGCATGACCTGCAGGAAGTCAAGAGCAAGGAAGTGTCGACAAGTGATGGGTGACTTGCCACCAGAGAGGATGGAGCCTGCTGCACCCTTTGAGTTCACAACAGTAGACCTCTTTGGACCATACCAAGTTTGAGATGATGTCAAGAAGAGGGTAACACTAAAAGCCTGGGGAGTTATCTTTTGCTGCATGGCCAGCAGAGCCATTCACACAGAACTAGTGAACACCCCATCAACAGAAAGCTTCCTGATGGCTTACCAACGGTTCACAGCCCTCAGGGGGCATCCAAGAAAGATCTGGTCTGATCCAGGCACCAATTTCATCGGGGCTAAACCTGTCCTGGAGGAGCTTTACAAATTCTTGGATGACCTGGATGAAACAGTGCTGGAAGACACTGCGGCCAAAAATGTAACCAAATGGATGTGGGAAATTCACCCAGCTGACTTTCCACACAGGAACGGTGCTGCAGAAGCTGCTGTGCGTGTTGCAAAGAGGGCACTCCAGAGTCTTGGTAAAGAGTCTGGGCTCAGTTACTCAGAGTTCCAGACAGCTCTTTACATGGTAGCCAACCTCGCAAACGAGCGCCCGATTGATGCCAGAGTTATGAGTCAACTGCTTGCAAAACTCCAGAGCGACTGCCGGTTTTTCACCTAATCTAAACTAATCTAAACTTAACTAAAACTAAACCAATGTGACAAAGCAAATCCTGAATCCAAAACAAAAGGATAAAGAAAGTTTGTGTCTGATCATTGGATGAACTGAGTGAAGTCACAGTGAAACTCTGGGCAAACAGTTGGACCTTTTCAAGTTAGGGGACAGCACAAGTAAACATCACACATAACTTGACAGGCACTCTGTAACACACATTGAAAAAAATGTGCAGGGTGGAAATGGACAGGTCTACAAACAAAGGAATCACATAGGCCTGCTTTTTTTGAGTGAGTTCTGTTTTCATCACCTCTTTTACAGTCTTTCACCCTTTATCTCCACAACAGCTCCTATTCTTTTGTCTTGTCTTTCTTGAGTAGCCATGTCACATTCATTATTCCTTATTAATTTCTTTATCCTCTCTTGCTTTCGCATATTTTTTCCTTTAACCTCTCCTGTGTGGATCTTATCACCACCTTCCCATTCCACCTGAAATTGTATATCTTCTTCTTGTATATATCTTCTCTCCCTCTCTCCTTTCCTTTCCTTATTCCATTCCTACTTAAAATCCATCTGATCAATCCCTCTGTACCTCCCTTGCTAACCTGCTTTACTTCATCTCGTATTGGCCTCTCTGTCCTCTCTGTCTTCCTTACATATTTTTTCTTCCTCTCTCTTTTCTCCAGGCTCTCGTGGCTCCTACAGTAGTCAGCACAGTCAGGAGGCCCTTCGGCCCTTGGGGTCCCCAGAGCACCACATAGATCCCATCTATGAAGAACGTGTCTACCACAACAAGGGCCCCATGAGGAGCCTCAGCCAGAGCCAGGGGCCAGACACAGGCCCCTATCGCAACAACACCGGTAAGGCCTTGCTGTATTTGTAAAATCAGTTACAGCTATGCAGTTTCATTTTATCATTTTTGTGGTTTTATGCACTTTCCTCCTGTGAAAAAGGAGCCCACAGGTCGTTTGTGCAGCAGCTTATTACGACCCATAGTTATGTTTTGTTGTGAGGTGAAATCTAGTGCTCGTAGTAATTATGACAGGAGCAAAGGGAAAAGTGCTGTGTATATAGTATAAAGAGTGACATAGTCCGTGTAAGGAGGAGGTTGGGCTGGACAAATGGGTCCACAAAACACAGGAATATGACACAGGAGATCACTGTTCAATTCCCGTGTGAAACCAGTAGTTTATATTGTTTCTATTATCCATGATTGTTCATGGTTATTATTTAAACCATGACAACAAAGATCATCTGATATTGAGGAAGTACTTAATTTAACCCAAATCATGACATGATCTTTTCCTAAACCTAACCAAGTAGTTTATGTACCTAAACCTAACAAAGCCATGACCGTTATTATAGTAACCAGGGCAACGTTGAATATGCCACATCCGGTACACTTGCGTGTTTATTATGGTAACATGACAACCAAGGTCTGGTATGCATGCTGCCGTAGGGTCATTATTTCAGGAGATACTCCTATTGGTCGTATCAGAGGGTTGAAAAATACGACCTATATGGTTGTTTAGGGTGGAAGACTTGTTGGTGTTTTGCATTGGACTATGTTTTAACTCTAATGAAATTAGTTAATTATCCTTAATTATTTTTTTTTTCCAGTAGTTTTAAACCTTATACGTATCTTGGGACTTAACAGTATTTTTGAAGACTTTAGCACTTTACATCAACTGTGAAAAAAAGACCCCCTTCCTCACAGACCCTGCAGAGATTATGTACTAGATCAGCCTTTGTGCATACTTAGAGCCGGGACAAACTTGTATTAGGAGCTTGACTTAAATCAGTTTAAATCACTTTTTCAGTCACACAGCATGTGTTCACCTCATGTTAAACTCCTCATTTACCTAGTGTCAGGTATGCATGATATATAGATGCAACAGCACTCATTAGGAGAGATGATGTTACCCCCTTTTCATGGTTAAGGCTCCTTCTTTGTGCTGTGTAGTCAGGCCTGCAAATTTCCAATGATTACATCCAACTCAGGGACAAATGAAAATATATAACACATCGACACATTTGTTCCATAGAAGTACACATTTTGTGTGCTTCATATTTTTTCCAATTGGGAGTGAATCACAGTTGGGCACATTTTCCATCAAACTCACACAGTCAGACACACTCAGTCTCACCCGCTCACCCCATAACTCCATTGTTGCCAGCAATGTGTTTTTAATAGGGCCTCATTGAGCTTATCTCAATGTGGGTTTAGGTACGCCATGTTAATCCCATTACCGTATCATGAAAACACCCAAGTCGGTCACGCCACATTCACAGCTCCCTCGATGTCATTAACCAGCCTAGCCTTAATAGCTATCATTAGCATTTGGGTCAGAATCATAGCAGTAAATATGCCGCACTAGACCAGCATTTGAGTTGATCAGTTTGACTCACTTGAAAGGAGTGAGAATTGCCTTTAAGCGCGGAGCATAGCTTTTGAAGCACATTTCAGTGTTAAAGGGTCATTGGGTTTTGCTTTTATGATTGTGAGATATTTCTTTGATTGCTGTCGGTGAAATTCTGAACAGTGTATATAGTGATAGGATTGTCTTTTCAAGCAGGAAGTAATTAAAGAAGTGTGCTTCAGAAGTGTACAGAGAGGATCCACTGTTATCTATAATTTACTGTGCCTTGTATTTGTAGTTTCAATAGATGGGTATAGGAAAACTCACAAAGGAAATTTGTACTGCAGCTACAAAAATCAATAGACTGTGGATTAGACCGTGTACATTTAATTGCAACACTTGAGGTTTACAATATGCTTCTGCTATGATACAATATTTTAATAGATTGTCTCATGTTGTTTGAACTAAATCCTCCACCAGAGTATATCAGTATGAGCCTTTTTCACCACGTACACACTTTTACCCTGTGGACTGTGCTTGGCCCATATAACTACAGTGGTAAATCAACACATCAAAAATGAACAGCACCTTGAAGTCACTGGGCCGTTGAATTAAGGCCTGGCCTTGGTGCAGCATGTTTTAAAAGCCATGTGAATAGCATGTGCAGTGACTAGGAAGCTGTGCAATAAGGAGTCAAACTGCACGGAGTGATAGCACATAATGAACTGATAAGGGCTATGCTGACATAGTGAGCGATAAGTCATTAATTATATCATAGTGCCTTTTCTTGGCAATGGCAGGCTCACATTATTGGTTCATTAAGATGGCATGGATCAATGTAATTAATGCTATAAGTCATTCGGTGGAAAGAAAAGGAAGATATTGCAACAAAATTTGCCAAGTTGTAGTCGGTTGGTCATTATATGGTCCACAGTGTCAGTGTAATTCATGCCTAGTATTCATTGAGTGTATGGGCCATTGCATTACTTACGTAACTGGACACTTAACTATGAAGAAGTGCATGATACAACAAAAGCAGTTTAAGTGACAAGAACTGCACTTTCACTGGTTTTTATAGTGACTATTTCCTGACCTATTTTAGGGCAGATAGTCAAGTGGAGAGAAATGGGGACATGGAGCAAACAGGACATGAGGAGGAAGCATGTAAAGCAGACACATGGGGTCAAGACTATATTCCATTAATTTGGCAGAATTGTAGATGCAACACGTCTGGTTTACAACCAAACGGAGCAGATCATGCAACATTTTCTTCAGCTCAATCATCTACCTGGTACATATTCACCTACACTCGGTTTATGTTTTTTTTTTTTTTTTTTTTTAAATATATTTTTTTGGGCTTTGTGCCTTTGTTGGACAGGATAGTATAGAGAGACAGGAAATGGGGAGGCAGAGAGAGGGGGAATGACATGCAGTAAAGGGCTGTCCGATGCAGGATTTGAACTGGGGCCGACTGCAGCGAGACCACTGTGCCACTCGACGCCCCCTCGGTTTTAATAGTGGTGCTCTTAGTTAAGACTCCTTGAAGAACTTGTAATTTGTGTCTGCTCAGTGTGACTCTCAACCTCCGATATCTAGTCAGAACACCAATAAAAAAACAAACTGGTAGTCTTAAGAAGTCTGTTGACATTTTCTTGCAGCACAGTGGACAGCAGTTTGACAACATACTTGACAAGATATACACATCAGTCGGGTCCAGTTTACAACACTGTCATTTGGATAACCTGTCTGTCTGCTCAGGTTCCATTGTTTCCTACTCTTCACTGCTCAGTTCATTTCAACATTCATTGTTAGAGTGTTAGATTAACAGCATTTCCATCATGTGACATGACTATCTATCTATCTATCTATCTATCTATCTATCTATCTATCTATCTATCTATCTATCTATCTATCTATCTATCTATCCATCCATCCATCCATCCATCCATCCATCCATCTGCATTCATGCACACCACAAACATGAGTCAGTATCTGGGAGTTTTTACACTATGCGTGTGTGTAGGCAGTGACACGCAGTGCTTCATTCTTGGATTAAACCAGGCCAGCGCCCCAGAGGACTGCAGGTTAATGTGGCCTATTTCAAGCGATAATTCCTGCATGGTCACAGCGTCTCCAGAGCATGAAGGCATTCTAGTACAAAGAAGAATTGTAGCAAGAAAAAAGCCTCGGGAAGTGGTTTACACATTTGTTTGTTTTTCCAAAATGACACTGTGTGTTTTTGAAATCGACCTACACTTTGTCACTGTGGTTCCCTTACTTTTTTTAGAATCTCGCTATTTTTGACATCATTCTCGTTCTCTCCATGCTCTTTATTATTTATTTCTCATTCTGCTTCTTGTTATTTTCTTTTCCCTGTTATATATATATATGACTATCTTTCTTTAATGTTCCCCTTATGTGATCATAGTCTCCACTAATTCAGTAGACAGTACATGTCAGTGAAATCTTTTACTTTTCCCTCACCTTTTTTCATGCCCTCCCCTTTTCTTCCTTGATCTCCTTTTCCTCTGACCTTCCCTCCTTGTTCTCTTCTTTATTTCCTCCCCTCCTGCCTTTGTTCTTACTTTGTACCTTCCGTCTTCATGTCATGAAAGCTATCTTAGCCTGTATTAATAACTGTGACCACTGGGAATAACAGTGACTCTAAATGGATGTGGCACTTTTTCTCTTTAATAGCTTAACATCACACCTGCACGTAGCTCAGGTGGTGACAGTGAGAATGGGTAGATCCACTGCCATGGCTATTTGTCAAGTGCATCTAGTAACCAGGTTGAGCTACTGCTGCTGATAAGGGTTATTATGTAGTTTAACATTGCTCCCTGCAGTATCTTTGGGGGAGACAGACACTAATTCTTCAGGAATCAGCAATCACTGAGCCATGGTGAAAACATGAAGTGTCCTTAGGCAAGATACTGAACCCCACATTGACCCTGGTGGCTGTTCCATCAGTGCATGAATGTGCATATGGGTGCGATGTATGAATGTGTGAGTGTATGGGTTAAGCACCTTGAGTCACCTTGGTCAGTAAGACTAGAAAAGTGCTATATAAGTGCAAGTCCATTTACCAGACAGTGGTTTCCTACATCCACATCCGCTAAGAGAGTCATCTTGGTTATTTTAAGCTTTGTACATGATAAATATGTTATTAGGAGTTTTTTCAGGGTGATTTTCACACAGAAGCCAAATGCACACTTAATTAATGTAATTGTTATGTAAATGTTTATCTAATTTATGTAAGTGAAATGTAATGTGTCCAGTTGCTGTTTTTTCATTTTATGTCTGTGTAAGTTCTTGGTGTACTTTTGGGCAGTTGCAGTGCAGCTTCTGCCACAGTCTCAATTGCATTGTTCTGTCTTCTGACTCCTCCTCTTTTTTTAAATGAATAATGATGTTTTTGATCACATGGTGTGATTTTCTTTTCCTCTCAGTTTTTTGATAAATGCAGTAAGGCTATGGTGTTGTAAGAATCACAGAAAATT